AAAAAAAAAAAAAAAAAAAAAAAAAAAAAAAATCAGAAAGACTACAAGCCAGAAAGATTTTGACACTACAGATTCCTACTTGAAATCCTTGGGTTTATCTTGTGAATCATGTGTAGGTGTTTGCACACCTTACAGCATTAATACAGTCCAGCACCACAGGAAACCATTAGAAGGATCTCACAGCACCCCAGTATGTCATAGCACCCTGGTTGAGAATTAGTGGTTTAAACAAACATGAATATATAGAATGCGTGCTTGAAGACAGCAGCAAAAAGCTTAAAATCCCCAATAAGTTCTTCCAATCTTTCTCCCTTACAGACACCCGGAGTTCCATGATCCATCACAATTGGGTTATTCTCTTCCTTACCCTCCAAACTCATTAATGCCATCCCTCAGTTTCACAGTGCAATTCCAACAGGTGGACCTGTTTAGAGAACAAATTCCCCAGGGTCTCATCTCTATTTGAAAAAATGCAAGAGGCCCTCTTCACCACCACTAGGTAAGAGCCTTTCCTGCCCCACCCTACCCCAACTCCTTCCATATCCTTCTTGATGCCCTTTGGTGCAAAGGCAATGTGTGAGCAGGAGCCCTCAGAAAACAGATATTTGAGGAGAATAAATAAAAGTATGTGGCAGACCTAGCTAGAGGCAAGGGACCAGCACCCCCTTGCCCTATTACAATGAGGTAAGCAAATTAGGTTACTTAGAGTTGAAATTCAGTGGCAAGAGTTGGCCTTCCAATACTGTCAAATCAGGTGTCCCTGGTTATTTGGTGCTCCAGGCCAACGTGAAACAAGGCAGCAAAAGCAGAATACAAAAAGCAGCAACAGGGCAAGCAAGCTTGAAGTCGCAATTCAGCATCAAGGAGGCTTTTGGAACCAACAAGCCAGATATCTCTGGCACTTATTTTCCTGCTGATGGGTGTAAATATTTTATCAGCCTCTTGAAAACACTTCTCCTGACACCATACTCACTTCAGACTATCACAATAATTCAGTATTTTTGACCAGCAGTTTTGGAAAAGGCCTTGGCCAGTCCTTGTGGTTGGGATCTTGAGCCCCCCAACCCTTAATGACTTAGTTTGTCTCCTTCTGAGGTCAGCTCTGAACTCCTCAGTACCTGACACTAATCACAGCTTAACAAAAAGCCCTTAATCAAACAGCCCAGATATTCCATGACACCCAGGGAAGTTAAAGATTCAGCTCACCAATTATCTTCTTAGCTTCCTCAGATGTAGTTTTATGTAGCATGGTTTAACCTACCATTTTCCCACTTCTTTACTACTCCTTTCACTGTCTTCCCATCCTCAGGGTGTGAGCAGAGCTGTCTGGTACACACAGCAATCACCCTCTAACTCTATTCCCCTCGCTCCTTCAAGTGTGGTCTACTTTACTCCTCTACTTTAACCCTGTTTATTCTCTTTTTCTTCTTCTGTTGAAGGTCACAGCAGTGATAAATTTATATTAGTACCTGATCTCCTGTGATGCTTCCCTAATGTAAATAAGGTCTACCCACTTTATATTTTACATCCTCTGACTGCTTTATTTATAAGTTAGACAAGGAAGCCTAGCACACATTGACAGCCTGCATGTCCAAAGGACCAAAATAGCTTGGGAATAACTTTTTGTCCCCCTAGATTCATTCAAACCAGATAAGGAAGAGATGAGGTGATCCAACCCATTGAACAAGTCTTTTGAATGTGTTCCATTTGGCAACAAAGGACTTCCTTGTGAAGGAATTTCCCAGAACCTCTTGATCTCCTGAAAGTGCCAATAATTAACCCTTAGATACGTTAGCCATGTTGTCTGATGAAAAAAAATTAATTATGAATGAATCACCTGCCCATTCTATTAGTATAATAGGCTTGGATAAAGGAAATAAGAGAACCAATTGTGGACCAGGATGTTGCATTCAAGACTGTGTGAAAACGGTCTTGCTAAGCCTTCCTGAAGACGATGGGGAAATCAAAGACAATGACTCCCTCGAGTTCAAGAGAGACACTGGCTACAGATGGATCATGGGTCCATGGGGTTCTCAAGCCACAGGATTCTAACAAGTCCATGGCCCTACCAGGCAAAAAAATTAAAAATAAAATAAATGAAAATATGTCATAAAAGCTTTAATGTCAAGTGATACCAGTAAACATCTTTCTAGCTGAGGCTCTCAGCCTCTCCTTTCCATTCTTCCCCAATGTGAATAGCCAAAGGAATCAGTTTGCTATTCCTAGTTCTATCAGTGTCCACTAAGGATCAATAAGGAACACTGGGCTTCACTCTGCTTCTTCATATACAGAGATACAGGACCTCCACTTAACCCAGGAGGTGCACAGTCCTACCAGGGGGAATGCCCTGCTGGACCTGGTCCTGGCCACAGGCGACGACCCTGTAAGAGGGCTCCAGGTCCTCGACCACTTGGGCGATAGCGATCATCACTTGCTGGAATTCATCATCCAGCGCAAGGTGTCAAGGGCCTCCAGCAAGGCGGTAGCCCTAGACTTTAGAGAGGGCCAACTTCAATGAGTTGAGATTAGTGGGAGAGGTACTGGGGTCCTAGAGAGTAGAGGAACTCAGTGCCCAAGATGAGTGGTCGTTTTTTAAGGAGATAATACTCAGAGCCCAAGGGGTGACAATCCCAACAAGAAGCAAGAGGGGCAAGAGTGCCCAAAAGCCCCCCCGCTCACCAAGGGCATTCATGAATGCCTGACTGCCAAAAAGGAGGCGTACACCTAGTGGAAGGGTGGGGCTATCACCAAAGAGGAGTATGCCTCCACCGCTTGGGTCTGTAGGGGGGCTGTTAGAAAAGCTAAAGCAGATACCAAGCTCGGGCTAGCGTCAAGGATCAAAGATAATAAAAAAGTCCTTTTTTAAATATATAGGGAGAATGAAGAAGGCACCAGGTAATGTGGGGCCGCCGCAGGATATGCTTGGCAATCTGGTGGTTGTACCAGAGGAGAAAGCAGACCTCTTTAACAAATTCTTTGCCTCCATTTTCTTGTGCAGGGACCAGGACTCCCCGATCAAGATTCCAGACAGACTCAGGAGAAACGCCACCAGGCATAAGGTCAGGGAGAACCAGGTTAGAGAGCTTCTGAAGGGGCTGGATGTGTTCAAATCAGCAAGTCCAGATGCTCTCCACCCCAGGGTGTTGAAGAAATTGGCAGAGGTTATTGCAGGGCCCCTAGCATGGCTTTACGAGCACTCGTGGTGCTCTGCCAGGTGCCAGATGACTGGAAGAAAGCCAAAATGGTCCCCATCTTTAACAAAGGGAAGAGGGAGGACCCAGGCAATGATAGGCCAATTAATCTTACTTCAATCCTGGGGAAACTCTTTGAGAAGATTATCAAGGAGCACATCTGTGATGGGCCAGCAGCAGGGATGATGCTCAAGGGCAACCAGCAGGCTTTCATTAGGGGCATGTCTTGTCAGACCAACCTGACTGCCTTCTATGATCAGGTCACAAAAGCATTGGACGCAGGTGTCACGGTGGATGTAGTCTTTCTGGACTTCAGCAAGGCCTTTGACACTGTCTCC